TCTCAACGTCAAATTCAACATATCTTGCTCGGTCCACAATTCTTGTGCGGCATTGAAATACTCTGTGACCGATCTGTCTCCTTGGGTCAATCGGGCTAGGGCAGTTTCCACTTCAAATTACCGTGCAGCGCTTGTTGTAGAGTACAGTCCAGCTAAATGCCTCCTCATCCTATTCGAGGTAGGAAACAGTCGTAGGCTCAAGCAGGTAGATGGATCGACTAATCCCAGCAACCACGAGCGGATCCGGGCATCATTTTGTAGCCATGATGTCTTCTCCAGTGCGGTGGCCAAGGCTGTAGTCGGCTGAGGAATAGTTCCATCCAAGATTCCGAGTAACCCTCTATCTTCAACAAAAACTCGAAACTGAAATTCCCACAGTGCATAGTTCGTCGAGGTGAGGCGCACAGTCGGCCTCTCCGATTCAGTCGCGATGAGCTCTGATACCATGTTAACAAAAACAGAAACAGAATAATATCGAAAACGTAACGAAACCAAACACAGACACCGATATTTACGTGGTATCCCTGGATAACCAGGACTAATCCACGGAAGAGGTTGAACGCTCTTCAAAGTACTGATTTTACTAAGAAGGTTTTCTGGAATCACACAGTACAGCCGCCGCACTCATTCATCCACAATACATAGTGTCTCTGCCCTAGGTGGGAACCCCTGCACGTCTTGACTATGCATGGGCTTTGCATGACACACGTATGATATGGGCTTAATAAATGGGCCCCACTCATGACTTTCATACAGCTCATATACTTGGCAGACTACTATAATACACTAACAGTGTGCTCGTAACTCGCATCTCAAAACCATAAGATGTCAAATCCCAGCAGAAGAAGCTGGAAGAGTTGATGTTGAATTTCAAGAGTTTGAGAAAGAGGATGCTAACAGAGCACAAGGAAATGGTTGGAAGAATTCTTCTTAGAGCTTCCGAAGAGTACCCGGAAGAGGAAGGTGAATTTCTTGAAACTGAAACTAACGAGAACGAAGTTGTGGGTCTTGAAAAAGACATAGAATTAAATTTGTCCATTTACTAAGTGTGAAATGGAAGCTTTCAAAGCTGTGATTGAGCAAATATATTGTGAACATGTGGTTGTGATTGAGAAAAGCGAATAGATTGTCAATATTGGTTGTTTGGAGGAGATTTCCAGGAGACAGAAGTCTCAAATTCACAGTAAGCAGGAAAAAAAAATCGACGACAATGAATGTCAAAGTGGATCGACAAGGTTTAGCGGAAATTATCATCATCATCAAGTTTAGTTTTATTTTCAATGTTGTTTTGTTTTTATCTTTGTTATGTCTGCTAGCTTACACATGTTGTCTTGTAGTGCAAACTCTTTGCCTATTTAACCCAAGTATGATTGAGAAACACACAAGGATTCTAGAGTTTCATTTTCCACAACTCTTCTTTGTTGTTTTGTTGTCCAAGTCAATTGTGTATAACAATCACTATTTATTAAAAAAGTTAAGTTCTATAATGAATTTGTTAGCGAACTTTGAGATAACTAACATATACAATAATTTGTCCTTTTAATTATCAATTGTGTACGTTGTAGAGTCATGCGACAAAAGGATCAATAGTACATTGATTAAGCCTTCCAAGTAATCTAATTAGCAATTGAGGCAGGAAATGAACTGATTACAGGGTTTCTAGTAGGAGAGTTGCTAAAAGTCGCCCTAGGTTTATTGTAATTGCCCTTACTAACAAATTATTAGGACCTTCTTACCCTTCTTTCTTTTTTATTGGTAAAATATATTATTATAACAAACACAATTTATGATATGCCCAAAACCTACGAATAATTCGTGTAAAGGAAAGCACATGGACTTGGGAGACGGGAAAGAAAAGATAAAGGAAAGGCAGGCTACTCACTTCACATATAATCGTGATTGCATTGATGGGTCACTGCTACTATTTAGAGCTTCCATTTTTCTTTTAAAGTAATTAATTCCGTGAGAAAATGATTGACTATATTCCCTAATGACAACTCCGTCTTTTAAGCATCAACATCAATGAAACTACAAAATTAATAGCATATGTTGTTGTCTTTATTATTATTAGAACAATTTCTCCAATTCAACTCATCTTTTAAAGTAAAAGATAAATAGAGATAACTATTCTCCATTTTTAGGTCACTTTAACTTTCATGTATAATTCCAGTCATTACAAGTTTACGAATATACAAAAAGCGACCACACTAATGCAATTGATTTACCATTGTAAAAATTCATATCATAACATCTTGCAATTGGATATACAATACCGGTGTAGATGCTGCTGAATCCGACATTTGAATTTTAATTATGGCAACCAAAGGAAGAACCAAACAACAACAAGATCAGCGGCATTCCTCAACCATGCCACCTCTTCACCAAATAAATATTTTGTTGTTTTGAATTAGGTTGACCATAGAATTATACGATATTTTGTTGTGTTTAATTTGTTGTTTTTTCCTCTATCGTGGTTGAGGATGTTTGGTTATTATCTCCTGGGACCTGGGAGTGGAAAAGGAAGGATCTAAAAATATGAATTTTTAATTTAATGGGTCCTAGCTTGAAGCTTCCATTTTTATTCAAGCATTCATATGATAAAGGGATGAAAATGCACTAGAAAAATGATATCCGAACTGTTGGATTGTGTCCCTGGGTGGAGTTTGCTGTCCTTAATCTTCTAGTGCTATGTTTGCCAAGCTAATAAATTTAATTAATCGGTTGACAATTCGTTCGCTTGAACTCAAATTTCTATATTCTTCTCCTAAAAAATTGGATTCATCATACTCATTTAATAAACTTTGACAAAAAACATTTTTTAAATTTATTGAGGCAATTAAAGATATACACTAGAGTGGTATTCTAAAACATATTGCGGCAATGGTATTTTGCACCACAAAACTGACAAATTTATCACGACGGTACAAATTATTATCATAGCGCCAAATATATTTAATACAAAAATAAAATAAGATCACGAGACGAAAAATAGGACATGAAAAAGCGCAAAACTTAATGTATTTTGGTTGCAGTGGTTGGTGATGCGCATTGTATGGAAACAAATAAAATGCATGGACAAAATTATGTTTATCTAGAACAAGGGATTGATCTTTTGGCTCTACCACTGATGTTAAACTTAGAGGTCTCAGAGTAAATATTTTAAATAGCACTTAATAATAACAAAAAAAAAACTTATTTCATCTTTATACAAAAATGATGATTGCCAAATATATAACATCCTCTATATTAATACATCACATTTGTTAAAAATTTAGAAATAAGAAATTCAAAAGAGATCTGCCGAATAAGCGAGACATATTACAACGTTGTTGTTAAAATTGAATGGAAGGAATTGGTTTAACCGATAAAGTCGACATTCAATCATTGACCGGTTCAGATAAATCACTTAACTACTTGTAGAGAGCATGTCGGCCGGATAACGGTCGAGTAGCCGACTCAAAGCTAAAAAACAACCAGATTGAAAAACAAACCAAGAAATCATTTTTTGTAATGGAAAAATGAACCAAGAAATTATTATGATGATGGGTTTCAAACCCCCCACCTCTTGAGTGTCAAATTAGATGCTCTCAGACAGTGATACGTACTATTGATTAATGCAACAAAATATTTATAACACATCTTTTCTATTTATAAATGATACACTCGGGTATAAAAAAGTTAAAATGTCCTTTTAACATTAAATAGTTTCTATTTCCAAAAAGTCACTTATATTATTATTGCATAATTTTAATTTTCATGAAATAGTAGGCTTCTAATTGCAATATAAGGTCATAAAATCATGATCTAGTGTGTTTTATAGGTATTCCACTTATTATGTTCTTATATATTTACGATGCACACCGATTCGTTAATGACCTCTTTATTGTTTAAATTATGTCAACCCAATAAAGTTATATAAACTGCTGGCTACACTAGTTCTTTACTCTGTTTTTGAGTTTCATCATATAACCCGAGCTCATCAAATCAAGCAACTTTTAAATCAAACCCCGCTATTAATTAAGAACTAACAATATCAGAAAATAAATCACCACAAAATCAAAGATTGAAACATCGTACCAATCATACCGGCGGTTCGACCAAAAAAATTTACTATCGAAAGCGAAAATATTAGGCGATATTTAACGGCATGAAATGGTTGAACCCATTGTTATAAGAACCGAACCGGATCAACGACTGGGTCAGTAGAATTGCCAAACCAGTTACAATAGCGGTCCGATTCATTGCTTGGACGGTTATTGGTGGACCAAACGGCTTTTCACGGTTCAACATAAAATAAGATGAACCAACACGGTTTAACTGGGTCACAGGTTCACTATTTTAACAATAAAAAAATTTACACATAAACTAAGACCAGCAAATGATAATTATTAATTTTATTAATGTTTCATCTTCACATTCCAACCTTGTTGACGACTTTCGTTGTCCAATACCGACTGGCACAATAATTTTTAATTTGAATTAAAAAATATGATATCTTTTGTGAAATCGTTTGAATGATTTATTAGATATTTTGGTGCTGATATGAATTTGAAATTGTTTATGGTCAATGATAACTTCTTATTAAATTAGTGTAATATACAAGTCTTATATGTTATATATCATGAACGGTTCTATCAACGGTTCACCAACGATTTTGTAACGGTTAATCACTGAACCTTAAACCAGTAACTTTTTCGGTTCAGCCTCCGGTCCGATTCTGAATACAAAGGCACAGTTAAACTATAATTTCAACATAAAATACACTACAGCTGAATTTTCCGGTACGACCTCCCATATGGATAAAAATATGTCGACCACAATGTGTTAAAAGAAGACAACAAAAGTCATAATTAACAAGCACTTGACTTATGCATATATTTTATGATTTTCTCTTCAAGACTTCACCCACAAACAAACAAACAAACTTATAAAAAAAAAAAACAAAAGAGCAAAAGTACACAACACAATATAACAAGGAGCCATTTCCCGGAAACACAAACAGAAAACGACAATATTTGTTTCCTATCACTTGGCTCAGAATCTCTGACCACTGCCCCTCGGCGCCCACACTCATTACATTACATATAAATGAATATCAGATCACACTCTCACTCAGCAACTCGATGGCTTCTTTTCTTTGAGTAGTCCACAAACAAACACCCAACAGTAGTAACCCTAGCTAACTAATGATTCCATAACGTCCAATCGTACCCACCATTAGCGTCGCAATCGCAGTCGCAGCTCTCCTCCACGCCTCCCCGCCCGCCTCCATATCCATAGCTCGGCGGCGGGGACAGCAGCGGCCCTTCCGCCATTTCCGACAGCAACCTCGGCATCTCCAGCTCTTCCTCCTCAGCCTCCACTTTAGTGTCGTTGCTGCTATCATCACCGTTGTCCTTACATTCCTCTTCCTGTTCCGCCGGCGTCGCGGGGCCGCCGGGGCGGAACATCTCAGCGGCCTCCGCCGCCGCGCTCCTGATGTCGTCTTGATCGGCGGAGGCGGGAACGGGGAGGCGCCAGGCGGAGTCGGCGAAGTTGAGGCAGGCGGACTTCCCGCGGTACGCCAGTGCCGCCACGTCGTGAGCTCGGGCCGCCATTTCCGGGGTGGCGTGAGTTCCGAGCCAGACACGTGTCCCGGTGTTGGGCTCGCGGAGCTCGCAGACCCACTTGTTGCCTTTCCGGCGCCTCACGCCTCGGTACACCGGGTGGCGCGTCTCCCTGAAAACCCTCCTCCCGGTCCGCTTCTTCGGCACCTCCGCCGCCAGCTGGTGGTGGCTGTGATTTCCCGGCAACGAAGGCGTGCCGCTGCCGTTGGACGCTGGTGACGATGAGGAGGACTCTGAGCTCTGATGAAGCTGTTGGCTGTTGAAAACCATATCCGATTTTAGCTAGCTTGGGATCAGTCAGTTGATTCTCTTTCTTTTGGGATGCCAAAAGTTTGCATGGCTGGCGGAAACAGGCGCCTGTCCTTCCATATATGGTCACTAAAGTAGAGTGAAGATCAATTACATATTTACATATATGGTCACTGAAGTTTTGCCTCACCTAAAAACCACCACTCAAACTAATTCCATCTTTCTAAGGAAAAAAGTTTGAAATTGTTGCAGTGGATCTAAATTTTGGGCCTCTTGTTTGCAACAATAAAGTTACTCTTACTTTCCAAGGAATTAGGTTGATGGCTACTTATCGTGCTCTTAGTTTTGTTATTTTACCATTAACATCGTCGGAAACCTGGAACTATATATATCACGCAGACAACTGCTAGTATTGGAAGTTTGGAACGTATATTCCGACTTTCGATGTCAGTTTAACGAATAGGTTGCAGGGACTTAAAAACCTAGAGTGTACACTCTCGCAAGTAGGCCTGTCGGTTCGGGTCGGGTCGGTAACCGAACCCGAAAATCGCAAAAAACCAAAACCCGAAACCGGATCCCACAAACCCAGAACCGAAACCGAAATTGTGTTCTGCGGGTTGCGGGTTCAGAAACCCGAAAAGCTCCTTCCTTGCTTGCTTACTCTGCCTCTCCCCTTCTCTTCCGCACGCTCCTTTCCTTTCCCTTCCACTGATTCCCCTCCCTGTTCCGGAAACCTACCGCTTCTCTTCCTTTTCAGGCGAACTCCTCCGGCGTGGCCGCAGGAAAAATCTTTTCCTCTTTTAAGCTCCCCCCCAACAAGCCGATTTCTTTCCTTCCCCCCGCTTTATATATTCCCTTTATTCTCTCCTAAAACCTCTCGAACTGGGTTTATCTCTCTCTCTCTCTCTCTCTCTCTTTCTCTGCCCATTTTGAGGCAGAGTAATCCTCCAACAATATTTCCGATTCACTAACGATTCACCTTGTCAATCACGACTCTTATACCTCCCTTCCCTCCCTACTTTTTTTGCCGCTTTTCTTCCTCCTTTTAATCCCCTTTCCTTCGATGCCCGGAGAGATTCCCAAACTCAGAAATTGAAAAACAGAGCTAGGGCAGCCTGAGGAAGACTCTCCTTCCCAAAACGACAGCGTAAGTCCCACTGGCCGAGTATCTACTTGCGGGTTTGCGGGTTGCGTTTCGGTTTTGCGGGTTTCAGTAACCCGAAACCGACACAATTGATATCAGGTTGGACCCGAAAAAAACCAAAACCGAGAATGAAACAACCGGTTCGGGTTCGGGTTAACCCGAAAACCCGAAACCGGATTGACAGGCCTACTCGCAAGGGTTGAGACGATACATTTGGAAGGAACTCACTTACACAAAAGGTTTTTTCCCCTGTTCTTTTCTTTTGTTGCTACCTTGCTCTACTACGAGTTGAGCTGCTAGCATTCTATTTTCTAATAAAAATTTCATCATTCATTAAAATAATACCCACTTACACAAAGGATTTTATGAAGGACGGGGGATCGATCGAGGCCACGATCCCAATATGATGAAACTTTAAGGAACTTTCGAAGGTGAAATATGTGCCATTCATCATTTATCGCCCAAGCGTCCATTTGGGATTTAAGTTAGAGCCTTGTACCAAGATGGATGCACTAATTCAACTCTCTAACATCATCCTTTAAAAGGGTGAAGGCGAAAACTTGAGAGCAGCCCGCCGGATAAAGGTCAATCAATTAACACATTGATCTATTAGTTACACAAACAGAAGTTTTAGTGGTGATTTATGTAAATTGGCCCGCCACCCGTGAAACACATACAGGCTTGACGTGGGGGAGGGTGGCAAATGAGGAAAGAAAAGAGCACGAAACAAAAGCTTACAAATCATAACTATCAAACCATTTACAGCAAACAAAAAAGTTGGTTCCTAGTTTTGGTGCGGTGGGTCAGTGACTCAGTGCTGCTCGGAACCACCAAAGCTCTCGATCTTGTTATTTATTTATTTTTGTTTTTTCACTTTTACCGTCATAATTGGTTATATATTTGAGATTTTCAGTCCACACTGTCAGAGCAGAAGCGTGCAATCGATAATCCAAACCAACACGAACGAACACAAATTTAACGTGGTTCACTAACACAATGTGTGCTAGCTAATCCACGGGCAGGGGGGACAAATTTTCACTAATTTGAGGAGAGTACAGGTTACAAACCAAATTCCAAACGGACAAACCAAACAAACTAACCTGACTGACCTTACTACAGACTAGGGTGATGAAGAGTATTTATAGAACTATTCTCCTAATCCCAAACAGAAGACCAAACACTTTTTCCCAAACATACAAGGAAAATGTCAAAACAAAACCCAATCCCAAACCCAAACAAAATAGGCCCAAACACAAAACAAACCCAAATCAAATTCAAGTCATATTCTAACACACAAAACTGGTACTAGCTGTAATTAATCTTCAACTTATTAATATTTGGATTGTTATAAAGTTGAGAAACCCTGGGGGCTGGGGACATGTTTTAAGACTTTTTGGCGGCGCATCAGACAAACCCTGGGGACAACTTGGAGAAACATTTTGGCAAGATTATTGCCGTCTTTCTTAGCTTTGGCAAATCGTGTAATGAGTAGTGATATTTCTGGTTTTAAAATCATGTAGATGGTTGGATAGTATTGGACCATGTCTGTGGTACTGTAGGCTGTAGCTATGAACTTGTTTTGTAGTTAGATGTAAATGTAGCAAAATATCACACACTTGTCTAGTTGAAAGATAAAATATAGTATGGAGAAACGAATAAAGAAGAAGAAGCTGGAAAATAGCAAAGAAGAGCAAAAAAATAAAGAAGAAACTACTCCAAAAATGGTCGTCTCTAATTATATTCTAGACTAAATAAAGAGAAATCAAGATCATGCTTCCTAGAAGCATATCAAAAGGTAGAAAAAAGACATTGTGGCATCATTATAAGGCACAACTCAATGTTGACTAGCCGTCACTGAAGCCACAACGTGATCGTGATGCCTCCTATACTTTTTGCCAAGACGAGATGTTTTTCTTCTAACTTGCACCTAAACGAGACTAGACAAATGACTAGGCGCGCTATTTAGAACTATGAACAAAAGATATTATTATGAGCACAACAAGTTGATGTCCCAATCCCTCTACCTAGCTAGTGGCCTAGTCCCCACCAAAAACAAACGTAAGACAATAATCTAGGTCATTTGGTTTTGGTGATTGTTTGGTTGAGATAGTTTTAATACATGTATTGTCCACAATGTATCATTTTCTGAATTTTTTGTACAAACAATACATGCATTGTTTGCTTGATGTGACACAAATTATCACTCAAAATGAGTGATAGTTAATCTCAAGTTTTGGTTGAGATTGTTTGATTGAGATTGTTGTGTTTTTTTCTTCCAATTTTGTCCCTAACTTTTTATATGTCTTGCTTTTTTATATTACAAACAAAGGGTAAAAGTGACATTTCACCCAAAAGTAAGATAACTTATTTAAATAACACAATAACTACCACATAAACCAAACGATGCAAACTACAATACACCAATTTTATTATATACATGTATATTATTATGTATGCATTGATCACAATGCATCTTTTTATTATTATCGAGGAACCTTAGTCCCACGTGCAATTTTGTGACTGCGGATCCTACTAAACCTGGGGCCACCTGCAATCAAATTCGATGCCAACTGGGCTTCGCCCCAGCAGCCTTTTACCTTCGAGAATACCGACGAGCCTCACTTGGATTCGAACATGGGATCTGCAACTCCCAAACTTTCACTGTCTTAGCAACTTTATCATTAAACTATCTTACCTCTGATCACAATACATCTATTTAACTATTATCAAAACCAAATTACGCCTAAATTCTTAGGAAGGAGACCCAAAACGAAAAACGAAAAAGAAATTAAACGAGTAGCTGTCCTGTCCTTACTAGAATTCACTTGGTGCACAATCTCCGAACAAGCTAGGCCACTCATATTATAATATCACTCGCTGGACTATTACTCCACCAGTCCCACAAATATCTAAACTCACTACAGTAGCTAGCAAATGATTCCACAACGCGCGCACCATCATGTTGTTCAGCACCGCCATTATTGGCCTAGTGACCGATTTGTTAATAAACCCAAATTTGGCTGATCATTTTGGTAGTTGACCCGGGAAACAAAGACACCTGGGATCGGGGGATGGCAAAATCGGAAAGAAAAGTGGAGGAAAGGAAAGGAAAGGGAAGGGAAGGGAAGGTTGCTTGTCAAAATCAGGAAAGAAAAGGTTGGTTCTTGCCTTATTATCACATTGATTAATATAACAATAATTGTGAGAATACAGGTTAGCATGGGTCAGATCTATGTTAGTATCAACTATAGTGTATATATATATATATAGGATAGCTTACGCTTAAAATACGTATTTACACTTGTTATATGTACTTTATTATATTTTGATGAATTAGAATTGTTGGTTATTATTTTTTAGATTAAATGAATTTTATGGCCGTTCGAGTTAGAGAATTAAGAATTCGATTCATATCATGAAGCAAATTTTGATTAATTTGTGGTCTAAATATTAAACTACGACTAACGTGTGTTTGTCTAAGTGGGTTATTTTGGGAATGAAAGACATAATTGATATGAGAAGGATCCCCAATTTCAACAAACGGGGCACCATGTGGACCTGGCCGGTATCAGCAAGTGGGAAATTGTCAATCAAAACAAAGTCAGTCGGCCGATCAGCATCGACGGCGAGCAAAAAAGTCGCCGCAACAATCGAGAAGCTAGCATTCCAGTTAGGAGTCGTCCCTCCGACTTGCTGGTGTGGATCGGATATTATGAGCACACTGCATAACGAAGACAAGTCCCTTTCAGCTCCCTCGTCCCAGAAAACAATGGACGATCCAGAAACCCGATTGGAAGAAGACAACCTCAGCTCAAAAAGTAACACTGTCTAATTTCCCTTACAGAATCTCTGAGGCTCTGAGCAAGCAAGCTAAAGGCCACTCACTCATTCACTTCAAAATTTCACTGAGTAGTACGGACTCCCTACCTCTTTCCCAGAACGATTAATTAATGTCCTCACTCACTCACTGCGTACGTACGTACAGTAACTAATTACTCCACAACGACCAGTCATATTCTTCCGCGGAAACGTTATTCATGTAATTGCCGCTCTCCTCCGCAATGTAACCGCTCCACACGCCGCTCTCCGCTCCGTAGCAGCGCGGAGGAGACAGCAGCGGGCCTTCCGCCATCTCCCACAGCAGCCTCGGCACCTCACCCTCCACTTCATCATGAACCACATCATTATTATCGTTGCTATCACCATTGTCA